CTAAAGGATTCTATGATTCTAATTTAAGTGGTAGACATTGAAGGACTTGGTTCTAAGACTCATAATGTTTCCAGCATTAAATTCAGGTCATTTTTTGGTCAGGGCCTGCTGTAGAGTAACTGGAGAGAGACATGAATATCCCACTTGACACAAAGGTCAGGATTTCATGAATCATTCAGAGGAGGCACCTCGTTCCTTTCCCCACTCTGAGCACAGAAGCCAGTCAGATGGTATCTAACACTCAGGCAGCTGAAGGTATCACATAAAAGCCACACTTCTTGTTACAGGGCCCATGAAGATGGCCACAGAAAGGTGAGCAGTGAAAATAAACAAGGGATATGGCTAAGAGTAACAGAGTAACTGATGCCAGTGGGAATTCCTCCTACCCCACCCTGGTCACAGACCTGCTGTGCTGAAGAGCCACCAGGAAGTTCAACGTGGTTACAGTTTAGCATCACACTGCCCAGGAACATCATGGAAACTTCCAGCAAGCCCCCCCCACACCCCTTTCTAGCAACAAACCCTGTGTTCCCACCTTACACATCACTCACCTTATCCAACAGCTCCTTCGTTTCTGCAGTCAGGGGAGCATGAGAAAACTTGCACTTATCTCCTTGATAGCACTTTGCTCCTGTGTGGTAGAACTTGCAAGGGAATTCATGTAAGCAACAAATTAAGGATTCCTAACAAAGGCCCAGTTCTAGTTTGGGAGCTGTCAGTCCTCCCCCTCTTCACCAGCACTTCATCTTTCCAAAGCAGTGTCTGAAGAGTTTTTGAAAGCCAGTAACCAACTCAACTCCTAGTTCCATTTAACATTCTACTAATAATTACATCACAGAGGCCTCAGCATTATTTTTAACTTGATTCTCCAACCACAATTTAAAAGATCAAAGTCTTCATTCCAGGGTAAAACCCTTTACAACAAACAAGAACAGATCAGGGTTTTAAAAGCATGTGGGCAAACGCATCTGACTTCAAGGGTTTTTATCTTTTAAAACCTTAAAAATCCTTGAAACTGAAAACAAACCAGTAATTTTAAACATCTTGCCTCATCCTAAGTATTTGAGCAATTTGCTTTCTTGTAGTAAACTGACATAGCCCTTGGTACAGTCTCTTAAGAAAATAAATAGCTACCCTTACAAATCACTGGCAGCAATTAAGAGTAAATATAAACTTTCCATTTAACTCCAGTTTGTTTGGGATTTTTTAAAGGATATTGTGCAAATAAATGCAGTTCTCTCCTTTGGTGCAGTAACCCTGTATGTAAAACTTGCAGATCTCCTTCTTCTTCTCAATCTCTGCATCATGATCAAATTTACACTGCTCTCCCTATAAATAAAAAAAAAAACAAGAGAAAAAACCATCATGGGTCAGAAATGCTGAATAATTCCACTTCCTAAAAACACCTTCCTTAGCCAAATTTACACTTTTTATCTTTATTAACACAGCTGTACTATAAACATGTCCCTAAACACAGTGAAAAGGAGGCCTGGAGACAGAGAAACAATTCCTGATTTGGGATACAAAGAATATCAGCAGTGGTCACAGAGCAAGCAGCTGCTTTTACAGCCCCAGTTCTCTTCTCTGCCTCCACCTAGCAATTCCCATTAAAAAGGCATTTAAACAAATACTTTCCTGGAGTGATTTTTCCACATAAACAATTACACACTGGATTGGAAAACATGATCCTGTTTTGAGGGCCTGTGGGACAAGCTTTACAAAGTCCAACAAGCCAAGTATTAAGACACTTCCATGGAGGAAAAACAAGAGACCAAAAACATTTGAGTTTATATCAACCATGAACATGAGGATTACTTTGCTGGAGAGAGGTGGGTTGGGTTTGGTTTTTTTTGTGCATATTTTTGGTGTTTCTTTCCACCACAAACACACCAAGTGCTCTCTCAGCCACTTGTTTTAGAACTGAAGGTGGCAGCAAACACTAATCTTGCTGAGCACGACCTATTAAAACACACAAAGGCAGCAACAAGAGCATTGTTTTCAATTCCCCTCCAGTCTGGGGATAAAAAAATGTATGTATTTTCACCTTGATTTGGGAAGAAACAGAAAATGCCCTCTCTCTAAGCACACAGAAGAAGCAGGTAGAGAGGATGCACTCACTGATTTAAGAAGCACGTGGCCTTTCTGAACTGTTTTAGAACTGACTGAACTTGTTTGACACCAGAGGACCCAACTCCCCAGCAGCACAAGCTTCCAAAGGGAGCAACTGGGTTTTTTTATCTGACAACAGAGTGTCTTGCCAGGGCTGCTGCTTGACAGCTGACTGCTCTGGCTGCAGCATCCTCCTCCTCCTGTTGCCTGAAGGATCTTTGGTAGGGGGACCTCACTTTTTGCTTTAGAGAGAGAAATCATTTAGCAGCATTAAGCAATTCCTTCAGTGTTTCCAAATCAGTAGTAGCACAGAAGAGAAATAATGTCCTAGACTCAGCAGTCACTGCCTGTTTGCAGATCCCACACTCACAAGGCTGGGTGGAGATTTCCACAAGAGTGCCCATCTACTTGGTCAAAGTTTAAACTTCAAAACTTGAGTTCAAAACCTCCTCACACCCAAGCAGCCAACGGACAGACACAGCCCATAATTACCTTGATACACCTCCCTTCCAGGAAATATTTACAGATTTGTTTGCCTTTGTGTTCCACTGTGTGCTGGTTGATGAACTCCTGGCTCATATTAACCCATTTCTTCACTGGTTTGCCATCCTGGAAGAAACAGCAACATCCCACTGAAGCTTACTTAAGGGCAGGTGCAAACATATCACTTGGTGCACTAGTTACCCCAAAATGGGATTAACTACACCATGATTTAAGTTCTTAACATTATTACACCCACAGCTCAAAGTCAAGGAAAATACAAATAGTCTTTTATAAATGCAACCAAACCAGACATTTCTTGCAACACAAGATACCTCCAGATCATTCCTCTTTGATTTTCTTCCTTTTTTCTCCCCCATTACCAGAAATTTACTCTGTTTGCTTATGCCACGAGGCAAAGCTGAGAGGAACCACAACTCAATCATGACCTGATATGTAAAAATGATTATCTACCTGGTGAGGCAAACAAGTTTCCTCTTAATATTTGGTTCCCACATGATGCCTGCACTAAACTAAAGAGCAGAGCAGAGATCTTTGAGCTAGAAATGCCACTCCTAGGTCAGTCAAGATCCACTTTGGACACCTTAAACCCAGAGAAATCTCATCTGCTTCAAAGCAGCTGCTGTCCCACAGCACAAAGCACTTGGAACAACAACCTGAGGAACACTGAAATGCTCCCACCCTGTCCCTGAGAACCCTGGGGACCTCCACACCACACAGCTGAGTGTATGTATTGCAGAATTCATTACCCTGCTGTAGCCAGGAGCTCAGCTTTTTGTTTTCTGCCTGCTGGGACCTGCCTGCAGCCTGCACCCTTACCAGTGGCACTGGAGCAACAGGAAGGAGGAGTCCTACAAATGAGGTATCCTCCTAACAGAACAAATGCTGCCACTGGGACACGTTTCACTGGGACCATCCAGGATCCCCAAGGAGTCTGGAGAACACAGGGAAAAAGGAGCATGGCTGAATCCAACATCACCACATGAGTGAGGACCCAGCCACGTGCATTCAGGAGGGAGCAGAACCACAGACCTTTTAGCTGCAGTACACAGACTTAAGTTTGTGATTTGGCTTAAAAAATGTGGGCTTTCTTTTCAGCCATGGATGGATTTGATCCATTCATCACCAGTTTTGTATGGGTTTTCCTTTAGATGAAGGTTGGAGTAACCATTTACAAATACTGTGGCCATGCTGAGCACTGGTTTCTCTAATTCCTCCACAGAGGATTACTATAAAAAGCCCAAGCTTATCTCTAATTCCATTTCCACAGTCACAGCTATGGAAAGAGAAGGAGAATTCTTCACCATGTGGATGGGAATGAGAAAGCTGAGAAGATGTCCACTGTCTTCTTGGTCAAAATATCTGAGGGAAACTTGTCAAACAACTTATTTCAGACAGAGTCAACCTTGACACTCACCCACCATTCCAAACCAAAGCTCAAGAAACACTTTCTGCTAGGTTTTTTTTTTATATTTTCAAGAAAAGCAAGAAATTAGTGTGTTAGTTTATCAATTATACTCTGTGCATCAAGCATAAGAAAACTCTGGTAATGTTCTAAGTAAGGGAAAAAAGTTTAAAGACATATTTTTAAAGACTCTTCTGTTAAAGCCAAGCATCCAGTCACTTGGCACAACTGCACTGGGAACACTTGGGAGCTGAGCTCTCATTCCACATACCTCATGGAAGCCATCAGATCCTTTGTTGCCCCCTCTTCCCCTTCCACGATCTTTACGCTTCAATTTCTTCTGCATCCCACGCCCTTGACCAACATTGTAATTATTACCTCTTTGAGAAATACCTGAAAAAAACCAGCAAGGACCTCTTTAAAAAGCCTCAGAAAGTGAAGGGGAACGGTCACCTAGTGACACTGAACACAAACATCTGCCTTTTTGCAGTCCAAATCCCTAAATATCCTCTCAAAGTTTCATGGTAATGGTTTGGAAGCCTGCAGACAGCAGTGAGCCAGTCATGCCAGCAGGCCCAGTCTCCCCCCAAAACCACCAAAACAGAGCATTTGCTTTCTCATCAGTTCAAAACCAAAGGAAACCAGTGAGGAAGTCCTGTGGACATCACGCCTGCTTCAGGTGGCAACCACCCCATGAGAAGCGAGGCCAGCTCCAGCCCTGACTTCACCTCAGATGACTCAGGGGCAGATTTAGCAGCAGTGTTGCCAAGCAGCACAGGAAAGGCCGTTTTGGTCTCAGCTGAATAGACTCTGATGAGCTTTTGCCAATTTGTTTTACTGAGCCAAGATGGAACATGAGGAATCCTCACTGCAGGGAGTGGCAGGCAGCTTCCTACCTGTGTATCAGCCCTACAAGAAGACTGGGGAGCACTCAGGAGCTTAGCAACACTTCTAGGTGTTTATTTTTCTCCTAAATCAGGTTTTGGAATCCACACATTTCCATGCCTCCCAGCAAGCAGATCCCATTTCAGACTTCCACCAGAAAGCCACTTTACAGTCCTATGATATCCCATTCAAACAGTTCCAAAACAACCCGACCCCCACCTGGCTCCAGCCTCCTCTCAAGGGGGTGTTGAGAGCCAGAAGGTCTCCTGAGCCCTCATTTCTCCAGGCTAATTAAGACAGGCATCCTGAAAGGATGCACAACCCATTAGTCTAGTGAATGACTTCAATTCTCTTACCTTTCTGGATGCCTTTCATCCCCTGTTTTTTCACTGGTTCTTTGGGGAATGGAGGTCCTAAATCACTACTGGAGGTCTCTTTAGCTTGCCTGTATTGTTTAAGTTGATCAGCAAAATCTTCATCCTTTTCTTCCTCGTTATAATTACCAAAGTTTTCATTGCTGTAATGACTGTAGTCATCATACTCTTTGCTCTTGACATTTTTTTTATGCTGCATTTTCTGTGAACTCATGTAGTTTCCTGACACGTGCCCGTGCTGCAGGAGAGGGATTGAACTGTTCAGAAGCAGCTCACTGGCTCAAAACCCACCCCTTCCAACTGCTCCGACCCAACTGCCTGCACCCTGCCCTGCTGCCTCCCACATTTCCAGAGAAAAACATTCCCCATGAACAGTGGAAATCAGTTAGGTAGTAAAAATTCTGATTCTGAAGGCATCAAAAGAGGAGAAAGGCAAAAAAAAGAGTTTTGGCAGCTATACTCCAGAAGGTTTTGCAGTGGGGTTGACCACGAGTTTTAACATATTCAGTTTTTTTTCAGTGCTACTTGGATGAACTAGGATTAAAAGATTTTTTTTTTTTAACTCATGATCTCCATACCCTGATGATCTGGGACACATGAAACAACCTGCCCTGCCTGTCAGTCAGGATTGAAATGCTGCTTATGGGCACCTCTACAGCAGCACTGCCCTTCTCCCACTGCTGTGTAATAAATTCAGCTTAGAGGTTTCTGGAATGGTTTCAGCCACGAAGGAAAGTGTCCTCTCCTCTCAAGTCCCAGAATTTCATCAGCTCTACATATTTAAAGGTGGCTTTTCAAGAGCTGTTTCCTCATGCTGAAGTCTAAACCCAATGCAGGTAATAATAAAGATATTTTAATTGCTGCCTGATGGAAGAAAAATTCAGCATCAGGTTTGTTTACACCACCTCTACTGATGCCACAGGTAATGCTTTGCATTTGGAAACCTACCCAAGGAGATGAGAACTAGCTGTGCTTCCTGAGCTCTGGGAGAATGAGCACTGCAAGTCATCCCCTACCTCTGCATTATTTAAATTACACCTTCAATAAAGGAAATCAGCTTAAAAAAAAAAAAACCACTACCTGGCTGAAGGAAGAATCATAGTCTCTGTATGAAGAGCTACTGCTCTTCTTATGGGGTCGTTCTATCCTCTCAATGTCAGAGTCATGGCTGTAGTCTGAACTGTCATCACTGGAAGGGGAATTATGCTGGAAAAAAGAAGGAAATCATTCTCTCAGGTGTTGTTACACAATCCTCTGTGTAACCACTCTGCTGTACAGGAACTTAAAAAAGGTGTTAGCCTAATAAATAACAATATTTCCTTAATTCTCACAAACTCTGCCCTTTGATGAGCCACTCTTTTTATCAGATCAGAGAAAAAGATTTGATCTGATGAGGCTTCTGAATACAAACACTGAGGGCTCTGTGGTTTCTTGGGGCTCTCTGAGCCCTCCCTTCCTTGTGACACCACAGGGAAGCTGCTGGGAGGCTAACAAATCTGGGAGATGGCCACTGGCTTGTATCCAAGCACAGAAATTATTCTGCTGGCAGAAAACTCAGCGTTGCTGCATCAAGAGTGTTTTATTTAGGTGCATTGTTGTGCAGAAAATTTAGGGGAGAACCATGCAAGAGTAGTGCACTGCTGTGATTTTTAGGAAAGGATCATCAGGTCTAATTCTCTGCATTCCATTTTTGTGACCCTCTTGCATTTATTTGCTTAAAATATAGATTAGACAAGTTAAACTTCACTGAAGGATGCACTTGACTAGCCTGGAGTGCTCTCTTTCCATCAATGAGCACAAAAGGCAAAATTGATACATTTAGATTTTGCCTTTTAGCCTAAAAATCTCCCACATCTCTGTGGTTCAGGCACCATGACACTGTCAGCAGCCAGGGCTCAACTCAGGCCTCTGCTGAAGGGTTAAACAACTTAAGAAGTGGTTTGACTTCACCCTTTCATGTCAGAACCACCACCACCATTGACAGGGGCAGAGTCAAAGGCTCCTAAATGCCAAACTCTTCCAGACTGCTGTTGACAGAAATATTGGAGATGTTTATCACAAATACAGGTTGATTTGTAGTTCCTTCCCATAGAAACTGAGGAAAGCCAAGTTTATGGAAACACATTTGGGTATAGCTAGCAAGCAAGCTTCCAGACTCATGTGAAAGGTGCTACAGTTGGATTATTTAACCATCCCTTGCCTCTCACCCCCATAAACCTCCACTGCAATGCATGACTGTGCTCCTCCAGCTCTCAAAAGTCTATTTAAACAAATTCTTTAACATTGAAGTGCATTGCTAAGCTAGGAACCCCAAAACTCACCCTCAGAGACCACAGGTGGCCTAAACAGCATTAAAACCATTTGAGATTCCTTCTCCCTGAACCCTCCTCTCAACATGGGAACCTGGAACCAAACCCAACACCTCCCACACCCTGCACGTCCTCACCTTGTGCTTATCCCGCCTCCTCCTTTTGGACTTTTTCTTTTCCTTCTCTTTTTTGCGTTTCTTCCTGGATTTCCTATGTCCTTTTTCATTCTTCTGCTTGTCCTCACCCTTTGGGCCATGTTCTTTCACATCTTCATAGGCTGCATCATCGATTTCACCATCCTCTAGCTCTCCATCCTCTCTGTAGGAGGAGAAACAGCCACACGACCCGATCAGGTGCCAATATCCACCTCACCTCTCCAAGAGTAAAACTAAAAAACCCCAAAATTTCTCCCAGTTACATTGTCATCCCTGTGCAGATCCTTGGAAACACATTTTAACCCCCAAAAAACAGTAAGATTTTAAGATTTCTTTGATAGTTAAAGAAAAATGGAATGCAAACCATTAAATGGCCTTGAACCAGAAAGATTAAAAGAGGTAAAACTGGTTTTTTTAATACTTAGAGCAAAGTTATTTTCTTACATAATTTTCTAGACTAAAAAAAGACCCCACACTTCAATATAAACCACTCTGTTGCCCTTAAAAAAAGGAGGTTTTCTTTTTAAAATTCAGAATAATGACATTAGTAAGGGCTTGTTTCAACCACCAGGAAAATCTGCAGAAGGAAGAACGTGAATGTGGCTTCTGTGTGTGAACATGATCCTCTCAAAAGTCTTCAAAATGGAGTTCCAGAAATGGAGCCACAAAACTGGAGTCACCCCAAAGGACCATGAAAAAAAATAATAATAATAAAAAAAATGTAACAATTCAGCTGCTTGGAGACTAAACAGAGAATCTGATGATTGTATCTCCAGCAGCAGAGGAAAAAGGCTCCTGCCATTCCATAACATTTCACTTCACCTCCTGTCTGCTGACCCAAACAATAACAACCCTCAAAGTGTTTGCCAGGAAAGAAACATTTTGCCAAACACAGCAGCTGACCTATTTCTCATCCCTGGTTCTTAGAACTACACAGAACTTGGAACTTAAAACAGAGAGAGTTGGGGTTGTTCAGCCTGGAGAAGGCTCCAGGAGAGCACCCTGACTTCCAGGGGCCTGTCAGCAAGATGGGGAGGGATTCTGAGCAGGGTCTGCTGGGGCAGGACAAGGGGAGGTCGCTTGAAACTCAAAGAGGGAGATTTAGACTAGAGAGGAGGGAGAAATTGTTGATGCTGAGCCCCTGTCCCAGGCTGCCCAGAGAGGTGGTCACTGCCCCATCCCTGGCACCATCCCAGGGGAGGTTGAGCTGAGCACCCTGCTCTAGCTGGGGATGTCCCTGCTTGGGGTTGGACTAGATGACCTTAAAAGGTCCCTTCCCACCCAACCCACTCTGCAATTTCAAATGCTCTTAGCTACCACAATGGAAAAAAAAACCAGAACCAAACCAAACCAAAAAATCACACTGCACAATAAACCAAACCAAGCACCACCACCAAGACAGGACTAGAGATCAATTAGCAACACAATGGAAGGGAAAAACCCACCCACATTCAGATTATCTCCTTGAATAAAGGCTCTGGAGAAAAACTAGGGAATTCCATCAATGCCAAGGCAACAAGTTCCCCAGCCCCAAGCCTTGTGAAGGTCCTTGGCTGGATGGCATGACCACAAAGGGCACTCAGGGAACGTTTCTGAGCCATGCACAAGGGCAGCTAGGCTGTGGTGGCTGAAAAAAAGTTCTCTGGGATGCAGGAGAAAATCTTCTAGAGAAGTATTGAAGGTGGGTTTGTTTTACTAAGTAGCCTGAATTAACAGGACTGGAAATAAGGAAAGTTTATACGAAGCTTTCAAATATCAAAATATTTAAAAAGGGCAGATGCAGCCCACAAAAAGAGGCCAAGGACCTTCAGAAAATCTACCTCAGGCATAAAACAAACCCTGTCTCCCACCACCACGGTGCCAGCTATCCCTGACAAACCCTGAAGTACCCTCAGCCACCAGCCCAGGATGTCACATCTTTCATTAACACCCAATTAATAAAATGGGCCTAACGAAACTGAAATGCAAATATTTACAAAAATAGCTGCAGCTGTTAGAAAAAAAAAAAAATCCAGCATTTTGACAGCATGGAGCTGAACTCCCTCTCTCAAGGATGTCTATTCAATTAAAATATCCTCTGAAGGAAAAAGCCTGCTAAAAATGCTCTGTGGGAAATGAAGTATTTGCCAGTTACTGGTTCCTTTGGGAACTACCATCCTATATTTACACTTCTGGGATGCATCCAGGACTCAAATAACTTCCTAGGTGAAACAATCGTGCAGGATCTCAGTAACACTACCCTCTGGGTTGCATTTCCACAGTCACATCACACAAGTCCTCTCGTCCCCAAAAGGCCTGAATTCTTTCCACAGTGTCCTACAACTTTCCAAGCATTAAACTCCAAGAATGTCAGGGAGGGGGGAAAAAAGACTGGATAAATGATTTGAAAAGATAATGGTGAAAAATGTATCATTTCTTGGAAATAACTGGAAAGCATTTAATTACTCTTCCAAGGAAGGTTTCAGGAGTTCCTGACTCCACAGCCTTGGCTGCAGCAGGCAGGGCTCTCAGCGGTGTGCTCCCTCCTGCTTCCACCACCAGTGACACCACCCAAAAAACCAACCAAAACACAGCTAGCAGAGGAGTTTCTAGGAAAAGGCTCCGAGTCTCAGGTGATTTTCCTCTTGGCAGGTATGGGCAGCAGACAAAGGAGGGTCTGCTGGAACAAGAGCTGCTCTGAACTGCTGTTTGTCTCAAGCTCAGCTCCCTGCTGACAGGATCTCACCCTGCCTCTACCCCCACATCTCAGTCTAGACAAGCAAGGAAGTGTATTTTTGTTGTCTTCTCCAAGATTCACCTCTCTTTCAACTACCCCCCCTCACAAAGACAACCTTTGCTGACACATCACCAATGACCTGGGGGGGGAAATAGTTTATGATGCCCACACAGTGCAGAGGACAAACAATTTAACCTCTGCCACGTGTTATTTTCTTGGGATTTTCTACTTGCATCTGCAAAGCCTGAACTAAATCTGATGCAGCTTCAGAAATTAAGCCCTGGGCTGTTCCAGTGCAGGCCTGCCATGCAGAATTCTGGTGTAACTCACCTCTTCTAGATCTCTAGATTCTAGATGGTGCATTTTGGAATGAAGTGACATCACCCCAGCTCCACAAGCTGGACTGAACAAAAAGGCAGCACAACAGCCACGACCTTTCCCACCAGACCCTGAGAAGTGGGGACACACGTGGAGATCATGGTTCATCTCCAGATGGGACAAAACTCACATCCCTGATGGATGGTTCTCTCCTCCACCACCTCCAGCCACTCAGCTGATGGGTATGTGGGAACAAAACCAGTTTCCACTCTCCCTGGGGTGTTTCTAGAGCATCAACAAAATGGATGAGAACGTTGGCCCAGCAGCCTAAATGATCTTTGAGGGAGAACCAGCCTGCAAATATTTGGTTAGGGAAAAGCAAAATCCACCCGTGAGGTAACTCCCCCCTCACTCCAGTGTTTACAGTTTAACTCCTGGCACTCAAACCCACCCTCCACTTGCCTTCCCTGCCCTTGGTTCCAGATATTTTTAAAAATAGCATTCTTTATGTTCAAAGAAGATTTACAGCTCAAGCTCCTTAAGTCCAGGATAAAGACCCGAGATGGGTTTTCTCAGCACGCCAACTGTAGCTCTGAAATAGTTTAACAGAGGCTTCAAAAGTCTCCTCAAAAGGCTTTTTTTCCCTTCCTGTGGGGCTGTTTTTCCAATCTTCCTTACAGAAACACCACGCACACTTGGAGACAGAGCAGGTGCCTCATGAGAGCCACACTTCTGTACATTTTAAGGACTTAGATGAACAAAATCACCCCCCCAAAAAGAGAACCTCCATCATCAAACCTCACTTTCTGTTAAGTCCATTTTTGGGAGGTTTGATGCACAGCTGAGGTCTCATTTTAAACCCATGACATTTAGGTTCACAACACAACACTTTTGACTTGATCAGAATAAGCCTTAAGGAGCACACAAACAGCCAAGACTTCCCAAAAGCATCATTAGAGTAGAAAAAGCAGAGAGAAGAAACAAATTAAGGCTGCAAACATCTCCCTTTCACCTCCTAAGATGCATAGAAAAAAAAAAAGAGACAGCAGCAAGGATGCAAACTTGATCCAAGTGTCTGTAAGGAGGACACAGAGTGTGGGGGAGAGGGTTTAAACTGAGGAGAAACTACCCGAGTGGTCTTCACACTGGTCAAGACTTAGTCTTGACTAAGAAAAAAACCTTCACACCTCCCCTCCCCTGGATATTTCTCCTCCTTCACTTCCTTTGGCCACCTTTTCTTCAGCATCCCAAATGGGATTTCCCCCTCAGCCTTTGCTCTGGGCAGCAAACCAGCCTGGTGTGCTCAGGGGGCATCTCTGGGAGGGATTATTGCTCCACTCCTTAGTTCCCTGACGTCCCAGCCAGCTCTGAAATGGTGCTCACGAACACTAAATCACTGCCAGGCTGCACTCAGCCCTCACAGACAACTCCAGCTGGACGTGAGGATGTTCTTTGGTGGTTAACTGGTACTGGGGGGTGGGGGAAATCACCTCAAAATAAGTCAACACTCTCAAATCCAAGCGTGCACATGGGGACAGGCAGCACCAGGTAGCTGAAGAGACTCATGGAGGTTGTGGAGTTTAACTGAAGCTGGATGAAGCCCCTGTGGCAAGGGAGACAGGGGGAGGAGGAGGAGCTGGGCTGGACAGAACTGGGATTAGAGAAGAGATTAGAGATCTTTAGCCCCTCTGCCCTGATCCCACAGCACCTCAGAGCCCCAGGGATGGAGACAGGAGGTGGGCAAAGCTGCAATGTAACATCAGCTGAGCAGTGATGGAGAAAATGCACAAGTGAGATGTGTCACCAGCTTCAGCTTGCTGTCCCTCCTCCTGGCCATGCCCCTGCTTGCTGCTTCACAGAGCAGGACTCTGGGGGGGGGAAAACCAGACAGGCTGTGAGCACAGCCCAGTGCAGATCCCTCTGGCTGAGGCAGGAGTGCAGACCTGGCACAGGGAAAGGGGGCAGGCAGCTCCTCAGAGGGGGAGCTGGGGGCAGGGAACCAGCTCAAACCCACGGGGTGGCTCTGGGGAGTCTCCCTTCCCCCAGGCCAGCACCAGGCAGAGCTGGTTCCACGCTTCCTAAAGCTCCCACGGGTTTGTTTTGGGTAGGACAGTGACTGCCCCAACTCC